TCAGGTCTCGAACCCACGGGCTCAGGCAATCCACTCACCTCGGCCTCCCAAAGTGCTGGGATTATAGGCTGAGCCAACGAGCCCAGCCGATAATCACAATTTTTATAACTGTAGTTGCTGTGGCAACTAAACGCCACAGACATTTGATCTCACAACACCTTGTCCTCCATCTGCACTTCATCCCATGCCACTGTTGAGGATAACTTGAGTAATAAGACTACTACATTCCAAATATGATCAACCCAGTTCCAAAATCCTATTTCCTGGGGCTATTTCTGGTACAATTTCTTTATCTGACTCCCAGCAGAAAGCAAATGATATTCTCAATTAGAAGGATAATTTAGTAAAGGGACTATTTACAAAGCTATCGCCAGGGTACTGGAAAATTGCAAGGGATGGTACAAGAATTCTGAAGTTGGTAATGATAGAGTTTGTAGGGGGATGGGAAAGGAAGTTGTAGTTAAAACAACTCATCATATAAACCTCGGCAAATGTTGCACAGAGTTGCAATGGCCCAAAAGCTAACACTGTGCTCTAACAGCATCCTGTTACTAATTGCTTTACTGCCAGTATCTGCTTTCCCTGAGACTGGCATCCCAAAGCTATGTGACTGATAACTTCCTCATACCGACTGTCAGTGTATGCTTTCCTAAGGCTGCATTTCAGAGACAAGTGATTAACAACATCACTGATAGTGACTGGTTTAATGCAGACATCTGCACTTCAAAGCTGTGGGACTGGCCTCAGCAGTACAGACATCTGCATTTGAAGGCCAGACAACCAACAACTCAAACTCCCAAAACTGCTTCTCGATGCCCATGCCTAACTCCCTAAAACTGCTTCTCAAAGCCCAATAAGCCCCAGCTGGGGTTTTATAAATGGCCTGCAAGAGAACAAAGGCCGCTGGTTTCTCTCTATAGAGCCAGCCACCACCCCACCTTCCACCCCCACCCCCAGCTTCTTTTTTCTTTAATAACCCTTTTTAACCACCAGCAGCTCCTTCCTTCCTTCTCAGCATACGTTCCAGGTAACAGCAGAATTACTATCATCCATAGGCTTGCAAGGAGAAGTGGAAGGAAAGGTTATCAGAATCACTCAGAAGGAAAAAGTATGAGTGCCACTTTGAAATAATCTGGCTTCTTTGGTCAAGAGGCACAGACATCCAGAGGCTACTCCACATGAAGGGAGTCGGGGGAGTCACTTCTGTTCCTCGGCACTCAACACCAGAGCTCCTCAGTGTCAGGAACCCATGGAAAGCCAGAGGGAAGAGAATTGATATAGGCAATGCAGTGAGCCTACTGAAGGCAAAGAGCAAAGTGTTGGAGAATTGATAGACACACCAATTTAAAGAGTTTCAAGAATGTTTGTGGACAGGCTTAGTGGCTCAGCCTGTAATCCCAGCACTTTGGGAGGCCAGGTGAGTGGATTGCCTGAGCCCGCAGGTTTGAGACTAGCCCAAGCAACTTGGCGAGACCTCATCACAACAATAAATAATAATAAATTAGCCAAGTGCAGTGTAGCAGGAAAAATAGAGAGATGGTGACACCGAGACTATTATAGGAAGTGGTACTTTATTACGCTGGCCATCCCAGCGGGCCCGAGTGTCTAATGCGTCCAAATCTAGTGCCCCAGAACAGGAGAAGTGGCGTCTTGTACTCTTGTTTAGGCAAGGGAGGGGGTCGTGTTTAGTGATTACATACTTCCTTTGGAATTTTACAAGGTTGTACTCAGCAAAATTAGATTTTTCAAAGAACAAATGGTTTCCAGGAGCTGTGCTTGCCACTGCACTCCAGCCTGGGCAACAGAATGAGACTCCAACTCAAAAAAAAAAAAAAAGTTTGTGTTTGGCATCTTGTTTAAATTTAAGAAGGAAAATGTAATCATCTAAGAGGTTTTCTCAAACCAGAATTAAGGATCTGATCATCTCTTGAAAGGACAAAGCAAGAACTCTAAGAAGCCCACATTTCTGTTCTACATAACTTCTGAAGAGTGACCTTTGTAAGCATCTTTGGCCATCCTAGCGTTCACATGAGTAATTCAAAGGTTTACTCTGTGCTGTTTCCCCCCCCCCAAAAAAACACCCATGCTTGTTTATATTCAAATTTATTAAATAATTTCATTAACTGATCTACATAGACATATTTAACAATTCAATATAATAATAAATACTTTGAGATAAATAAGTGAAACCCTTTTAGAGCCCCTAGGGCTTACAGAAAGAATCTTAAAAGATCCATATTTATAATCTTAGACTAAGAGTAATAGTTACAAAAGGTAGCAAACCATACATTCAACAATAAATATACATTTTAAATATTTAAATAAATAAAAAATCTAGTATGTTTTAAGAGGGAAGCACTTAATTATCAAGTCAGTGTTGCGATGATGCTTTGACAAAAGGTAATCCATCTATTCAGAAATTCTGCAATGGTTACTCTCTCATTATAGTCACACATGAATACTGTTTCAGAACCCTAAAAAAGAAAAAAAATAATTTTTAAAGTTCAGAATACTTTATGTATAATTATTTACAGTTGAAGTCTATAGGCTTGTGGCCTTATTTTCAAGCTTGTGAAGCATACTAGTCATTCATATTTTCTTGAAATGACCAAAGTCGTGTGCCAAAATTATATATTTTGTTATGATACCAAGTAATATTAACATATAAACTGAGATTTTCCTCATTTTTTTGCTTCTATCAATGAACACAAGATTTTTTGCACCTGAAAGTGGTGCAAATAAACATTTTAAATAAAAACAATACTTGATGAATATTTTATTAAATGCATGTGAAATAAAGTTGTCAACCTCTTTTCCTCTGGGTATTTATATCTATGTTGATAAAATATTTGAAATTATATGCACATTATGCTTTCTTTTCTAAATCTTAATTAAGAGTCTCCTATTATTCTACTTAAATTAATCTCCCAACTCAGGCGACATAGTAAGACCTTGTCTCTCCAAAAAGTCAAAAAATTAGTTAATTACAGTGGTACATGCCTGTAATCTCACCTAACTTGGGAGGCTAAGGGGAATCACCTGAGCCCAGGAGGTTGAGGTGAGCTGTGATTGTGTCACTGCACTTCAGCCTGAGTGACAAGGTAAGACCCCAACTCAAAAAAGAATAATAATTAATCTCATATTTTCCCCAAAGGAGAATAGAACCAGTCCAAAGTAAGGACAAGCTTCTGTTTGAGGGAAATTTGTGTGAAGAATATCTTCATAAATACTTAAACCTAACCCACCCCACATTAGTCTCAATTCAGGTAAGTTTGCCATCTTTTAAAAATCTAAATATTAAAAATTTTGTTCCGTGAACTTTTTGCAAATAAGCTGCTGAAAGGAGTTATTTCAACTCTGCCTCTAGCTGCCAAGCTAAGGAAGAAATATTTTTAGATATAGTGAGATATAAGGGTGGACTTTTTCAAGTTTGAAGTAATTCCTACCCTGTGAACAAAAACCAAAGAGATAGCGTATTCCCTCTGAATAAACTATTGAAGGGTTAAACATAATTAAACAATTATTTAAATATTGTAATATCTTGTAGGTTTTTTTTTTAATTTTAAAAAGTATTTGTCTTTTGAAATAGTTTTCTGATTTTCACATAATTTTATCTTAAATTCGTATCAAGAGTTTAGAGTGAATTTTTTGATATTAGTCAATGATTTAGAGCAAACCTCTTAACTTAGAAAACAATATATCAATGTCTGGATGACATTGATTTCACTGATTTTTTTTTTTTTAATTAAACTGAAACAGCCCACTAATAAAATGACTCCTATTTGGAAACAATTAGAATTACATGCTTTTAGAAACTTGATTCCACTACTGTAATTAAAATTATGCTGCTAGCCGGGCTCGGTGGCTAAGCCTGTAATCCCGCACCTTTGGGAGGCGGAGGTGGGTGGATTGCCTGAGCCCGCGGGTTCGAGACCCGCCTGGGCAGTGAGACCTCATCTCTACAATAAATCAAAAAATCAGCTGGGCGTGGTAGCGCATGCCTGTAATTCCGGCTACTTGGAAGGCTGAGGCGGAAGGATCGCCGGAGCCCAGCAGGCGAGGCTGCGGTGACCGGTAGCGGCCACTGCACTCCATTTCTGGGCGACATAGTGAGACTCCAACTCGAAAAAAAAAAAAAAAAAATTATGCTGCTTATTTAGAATACCTTTTAATTCATGAATTTTGTACTTTGGCAGATGGGATATGAAAAGAGATCCATGAATCTCTTTCACATCACCTTAGTCCCTTGAATATTTTATGCTTTTTGTGCATTTAAGAATACTTAAAGCCTAAAGTCCTTAAAATGACTTATTATAAACAAATTTTTAAAAACTTAAGACCATGAAAAAGGGGACTGCCTATAAAGGTATTGTTTAGTCCACTGACCATGTTAATGGCTGCCATATTGTGAGACAATTCTCTTTTGGGTAGTCCTTTCATCATACGATAGGGAAATACCATTTGAAAAGCTTTTCAGGCTAATCTAGTAAATAGTCTGAAGGAATTGAAAAATATATAATAAAATTTGTCCACTTTCTATCAAATACAATTCAGAGCCTCCTACTCCCAGTTTTATGTCAATGTCAGGTGATGGGATGTGGGCAGGGGCTGTCCCTGAACGGTTGGTAGGTGGAAGCGATCTAGTTTATACTTCTGAGATACACAATACACCATCTAACATTAGAGATGGAAATTAGAGATGATTAATGTTCACAGAACACTTAAAATGTTGGCTAATTAAATGCATACATACTGCACACATACCAAAAATTATTAGATCATTTTAAAGTGCTGCACTTTCCCCTTCCATCTGTTTTATTTCCAGGAGAGCAAATAAAGAAATGCCTTACCTTTAGTTCCAGAACTGTTATGTTGATATTGCTGATTGTGTTCCTGGTATCTTTCAAGTGAAAGTTTTTGCTTTCAGCTATATTTAGCACTTCCTCCAGAGGTTTGAGTTCTCCTTGGAGACACTGAAGATGTTTCAATTCCGTGACCTAGAATAATAGTAATAATTATCAGCTCAATTTACACTATATTAAAGGTCAGAATCAGAAATTAACCTCCAATTTGTTTTATTAAGAGTGGTAGTTATAGTTCTTACCCTTCTCCTGTTCTCAGTATTGCTGTAAAGATGGACCAATATAGTTTATATTACAGATCTGGAAAAACTAGGTCCCAAGTACCTATGACTAGTATTATGTGTTAGTTAACAACAAATGACTTGTTAATTTCAGCTTATTTTGACTTTGCAAAGGTCAACATTTCTGCATATAAATGTAAATCACAGATGTAAGCTGATTATTTTTCTAGTCTGCCAAGAACCAGAGCAGTTAGAATGTGGAAGTGTAGGAATCATAGCCTATGAATCTAATATTTGGTAATCTATGAGTTGAGAATTATACAATGTTAAAGGAAAGAAGAAGCTCTTGGTTGCCATCTGTCACAATCCCAACATTTTACAGATTAGGTACTTATAATCCTGACTCTGAGTATAGCCTGGAGCATGACATATTTAAGGTCTTTAATTTTTACTTTTCTACAATAGCTACATTAAGATGCATTAAAATTTTTACTTTTAATTTTTACTTTTCTACAATAGCTACATTAAGTTGCATTAAAAATTTTTTTTGTCTTAACAAAATGAAAGATCACAATACTTAAAAGACTTTTGGACAGCCATTCTATTAAATATATATGATATTTCAAATTTCTATGGTACGTTATAATTTCAACGAATTTTCTCCAAATAGGCCCATTTAAGTCTCATAGTTACTCTTTTGAGGTAGGCAGTGCAGTATTGTTATCTACATTTTACAAATAAAGACACTAAATCTCAGAATTTGTGTCTTCCCCAAGGCCACAAGTGAAGCTTGGATTAAATTTCAATTGCTTTTCACTGTAGCATTAACATACCATCCTTTGAATTAGATGCTTTTATTAATTTCTAAGATCTTTTGTAAATGTGGAATGGTGGTTAAATGAGCAAATTAATGTAGTTTATCACATTACTTTTGGTTTCAAATAGAATTTGAGTTGTCATTTAGAAACTGTTAGATTTCAAAGAATTCCACCACCCCTTAAATTATGCACACAATCTCATACTATCTTTCTAGCAATAGAAATATAACATTATCTTTCTCTTTAATGGGAAAGGGCTAAACAACATATTTCCTGTTATATCCATCTACTGACCTTTCAATTTGCTTCTTCAAATTCTATAAGATGAGAATTTGCTAAAGTTTTTGGCATGAGCAATTTGAAGCTGTTTCCTTCAGAAAACAGTCTTGTGTCTTTTTATTGCTGGATTTAAGAGATATGGGACTCTGATTAAACTAGAGGCGCACCTGTAAGCTATTTTCTTTTCATCTTTCAAAAGACTAGTTTGGAGCAGAACTCCCTTGAATTAATAGAAGTGAATCCACAGGATTGAATCTGTGTCCCCAGAAAGATGCTAGGACAAGATCCTTCTGGCACCAAAGTTTTGCCCGTTCTCTGTTGACTGACACAACTACTAGGAAACTTTACAATCCTACTGTAGCATAAGAGCTTGGATCTATGCTTATGGCCTATCTGAATCCCAAAACAAACAAAATGAAAAATAAGTCATACAGCATCATAAGTTTCTAGCCCTATTGGTAAAAGGGCATATAAGTCCAAAATTTTACTTTATACTTTCCAGTTATAATTTTGTCTTTAATACTACTAATAATAGCTAATGCATATATGTTATTTATCAAACAGTGTTCTAAGAGCTTTACTCATTAATCCTCACAAAACTATATTAAGTATATACCATTATTATTCACTTAAGTAGACACAAAACCGAGTCATGAAGAGAGTAGGTAATTTGCCCACGGTCACACAACCTAGAACATGGAGGAGCTAGATTTTACTTCAGATAATCTGGTCCTAGAGTCTGTGCTATAATTACTGTACTATGCTGCCTCTCAAAGATAGACTCCTAGCAATCTTCCCTAAATTAATAAAGAATTTTTTAAAGTGGCCTTCTTTGAAATATTTTGATATTTTACATGCTAAAATAATACAATTGAGTAATCCTAGAGTTTTACATTTTTAAGTAAAACAATGAATCAACATAATTTTCTTTTAAAGTTGTCCCATCAATAAAGCAACAATATGTGCACTTACCTTCTTGGGCACATAAAATTTGAATTTGAGCATCATGGGGAGTTTAGTATTCTTGTCATTCTGAGAAAGCATAACACATTGTTATTAAAAAATGAACTCCAGCTAGAAAATTAAATGTAGTAATTTTAGTAAGAAAGGAAATATACTTACATTTACTCCATTCAAAAGCATCTGTAAATCCAGTAGTAAATGCTCCAGTTGGAGCTGTGTTTTCTTTGTAGAGCTTGAAGTAGGTGCACTGTTTATGATGAGTGCAAGAGTTAGTGCAATGCAAGACAAGAGTTGCACCTTGTACATTGTGGCAGGAGTTGAGGTTACTGTGAGTAGTGATTAGAGCAAGTGATAGGAAGCTCTTGAACAAGAGAAACAATTTATACTTTTAATTCTGGAAAAATATGATGGGGGTGTCAAAATGTTTTACATATTACACATATTTTCAAAGATTCTACCTGTCTGAAAAAACATTACCTTTATTTTTCCTCTTCTGATGACTCTTTGGAATTTCTTTAAACCCCCATACATTGATTGAATGGATGTAGGTGAAATCCCTCTTTGTTACATTAGCCCACACTTAGGTGACAGTTTTAATTCATGCAACTAACGCCTTCTGTATGAAACAATTTTTCCTCTTTCTTTCCTTAAGGGGGTGGGGATACAAAAGTAACTCATGAAAATTTTCTCTCTGTGGTAAAACTATACTGAGTGTGTAAGCAGCATGCTGTGGTGGACAAGAGCAAGAGCAAATAGATGAAAAGAATAAATGTTTAGATTTGTTGATTAAACAGGAAGAATATTGGTTTCCTGTTTCAGAATGGTTTTACCTTTGTATCTACACAATGAGCTAATTGCATATAATATGATAGATTACTTCTTACACAGTCATCTAGAGAAATATACATAGAATACATAAGATACTTATTGAGCTTGAGATACTGCTTTATGCTGTTTTAATTGTAACATGTTTCTGTATCTGTTTAAATCTCTTAATGTCTATTTTACTTTTTTAAAGGGTAGAATTGTTAACAAATACTCAGAAAAGGGTTTGTAGTCAAGGATACTGATGCTAGTTTTATAATAGGCTTTATATGTATCATGTGTAAATCAATCCATGTTTCTAGTTTTTACTTTTTTGCTTCTTTAATAGATTTATATTTAATCCTCTGAAACACTTAGGACACTATGAGTGTAACAATAATAGTTATGAAATATGATCAGATTAATTTTTTTTGAGTTGGTAGACTGGATGGGATACTTACGATATGTGTTCATTTGTCCTAGTATAAGGAGTGAACTGACTGAACTATAGTACAGGTATATACTTCCAATTTAACCTGGGACAGTTGAGGAGATCCTTTCTCAAAGAGATTGCTTGTAACAACTTCATTTATGGCCTATTTCTTGTCTTGTTTTTAAACAGACATTTGTCTAGTACCTATAACTCCCTCGGGGATATAGAAAGGGAGAAAAGAGGACAGTGTACAGGCAGGTACTCAGTCTAAATTAAGCATTACAACAAACATATGCATTTTGCAGATTAGAAGACTAAGGCTCAGAGAAATTAAGTTTGCTTTCAGTTACTCAGCCCTTATTGCCAGTAAAGGGCAGAACAAGGATTTGTGTAAAAGGAAAGACAAGTGCAATCATAAATAAAAGGTGATTGCTGCCTCAAGAGAGGTGCCAATAAAGAATATTGAACAAGGAACAATTGATTACTTTAAACTGGATTTTGGCAATGAATAGGCTATGTAGGCAGGAAGGATTAAGCATTCTAAAAATACTCAATTGTAATCTTTTATGAAGAACAGAGGAAAATGGTTTAGTAATTAGGCAATGTCTGGAGAACATAAAACATCTTCAGTCCTCAGGTAGAAAATAATGAAGAAAAGGTAAGATTAGGGACAAATCTCGTGATCTTTTTCTTTTGTTACTAAAAAAAATGCAAGATGTCTATCAGTAACTTTCAAATCAAAATCACACTAGCATTATTATAAGGGGGAGTTTATTTTATAGTCTGTGTGTCATTTATTTAGTATAATATAGTATAGCTTTATTATATTTGTTTTGCTTTCCTAAAGACTTTCACTGTCTTATCCCAGCTTCATGATACAGGACTGTGTCCTTCCAGAATGGAAGAATTCAGGCCCACACATTTTCCTGTGTGGGAACTTTTCCCATGAGGCCTTTGATGTTCTCACAGTCTTGATATTTATATTTCTCCAGCTATTTCCATTAGAGAATGGGGCAATATATGACTACATTTCTGGGACCCTGTAGAACATTGAGCTCATGGAGCTCACGAACCCCTAGATTTGTCCCTATTATTACATAATAACCATTATTATAGAAATTGGCTTTTTAATTTCTTTGTTGAAATGTAGGGAGAAAGGCACCATAAGCTGTGACATACTTTCGCTTTCTAACATGTCTGACACATCAGCTGGCTTTTCTGGCTGTAGTGGTGGTAAAATCAGTAGTACACTGCTAAGTACCATGTGTGTCACACCCCCTGCTTCTCCTTTTACTATGCAGAGTTTTACTATTTGACAAGAAGCTATTTTAGTTGCTTAGCATTGTTTGTGACTCAGCCTTTTAGACTCAAGAGTAGTTCAAGTGCTTTAAAAAGGGCAATCCCAGTCCCAAAAGTTGCCTACCAAGTCACTGTGTTGCACATAGTGTCCACCCATCAAAACTGACTTTCAAGGACTCTCCATCCCACAAGAATTTATTTTTTCTGACCCTCTTTCACAATATTGGAAAACTTTAATTTTGTGTGGAGCATGATATATATACTAATTATCTCTTGTCCATTTCTCTAAAGGCCTCTTGACTTTTCAAGAAACGAGGAACACATTATTGGATTATCTTTCTACCATCCAGAGAGAATGCAGCTGGGAACTCTGTGTTTCTTGTGAAAATCTGAATTATCACAGGCATAGATTTGTGCCTAGTTTTTGTCTTTATGAGAGCGCTCGGTCCTCCATAATGTGATACTTCTTTCAATCTGTTTGCGACCACAGTTTAGTCTTCATCGTGTGTGCTCTTCTTTCACATGGCAAATCTTAATAATGTTAATAACCTTTTGGGATGGAAGAAGTATTTCCTTGGTACTTTTTATTTTGCAAAGTGCTTTCTAATTGAGTCACATTTTACCGATAAGAAATGTGATGTCTGCCAAGGTTAAGTGACGTGCCCAAGATTACATTCTTAGTGGGGAAGTTAGAGCAAAACTTAAAGTCTTCCTGGCCCCTCGTAATCTCATCTATGTCCAGTATAAATTAGGGATGTCAAATTGTAGGTCCATGAGGCTATACAGAGTAGGTGGAATTAGACTGTGCTTCGTACTGCCTCTCCCTGGAGGCAAAGCATCATTCACCTTCACCCAAACAACATCTTGTCTCAGCAGCTTTAGGATCTCTGAGAAGTTGGAGCACCTGAATTCACACGATAGCTACAAAAGCTGGGCTTTGCTCATGTTTTTTAATCTCTTTTTGGGGTTTTTAAAAAAGCACCGAAATATTTGATACTTTCTAACATTTCTCCCAAATCTAAAGTAAGGAAATGATTGCATTTCCTATGAGTTTCAGTTATATTGTGCTTTTCGGAGTGTGGTGTGTTATGATTCACATGGAAATATCATAGTAGACAATTGTCTGCTTTGACAGTCAAGAGACTTCCCACTATTTAAATGTTATGAGAGCAGGAGTATCTTCAAAACTTTGGGGAATTTACTTATATAAATATGAGACCCTTATGACAAGTCACCCAACAGTTACTAGAGGTAAAATGTGATAAACAATCTTTGTCAGTAATAATAATAGATTTACAAAGCATATTGACAACGGAGCATAGTGGCTCATGCCTATAATCATGCCTATAATCCATACCTATAATTTGGAAAGCAGAAATGGGAGGATCGTTTGATGCTAGGAGTTTGAGACCAGCCTAGGCAAAATAGTTAAAACAAAACACTTTTACTCACATCTATTTATCTTATTTCATATCTTTTAATCTCATTTCAGTTTAAAATAGTTAAAGAAAGAAACAAAGTTTCTGGGACAGAAGGAACAATATTTCACATAGCCAGAATAACTTTATTTTCCTCATACTTAAGAATTAAGCGTTGCAACTTACAGATAAATATTAACTTTCTCCTCTGCCACAATAAATGTTATCATTACAATCTTTTGAAAAGAAAGTTATTAATTACAGTCATTTAAGTTTATCTACATCTAATTGTTTTTCCTATCTTGTTTTCAAGTTCTCTCTGTTAACAGTTTGTTGTTTTTCTCCTACTGTGGCTTTGGGTGTACCACTGACAGAGTCCATTGTTCTATCATTCCTAAGTAACATATATATATTTAAGATTATAGCTTGATTTTTTGTTTTAAGTTTATGACATTATTATCTAGTTACAAAATAATACATATTGATTATAGAAAATTTGGGAAATTCAGAAAAACTAAAATTTAAAAACAACTGTAATCTTAGCAGCCAGAGAAAACCATTGTTAACACATTTCCCTACACAATTCTGCAGATCAAGGCAAACAATTTGTTACTGAAAACAGTAATGCTAGAGAAGGGGAGGAAGTTAAGCAAATAGACACATCTATCAGGATTCATTCTTGCTGCCCATGGAGATGGGAGGAGGAGACAGTCTCTGCAAATAAGATGCATCTGTAGCTCCCATTACTGGGAAGAGAGGGAAAACTTTCCCATCACCTCATGGGAACTATGCTTTTTAAACAAGTAGATTTTCCAAAAGTAGTTAATAGGTGGTTAATTTTAGAGTCAAGTTTGCCTCTTGTATAATATAAATATGCATCCCATTCTTTTTTTTTTTTTTCTTTGAGTCTGAGTCTCACTCTGTTGTCCAGGCTGGAGTACAGTGGTGTGATCACAACTCACCTCAGCCTTGACCTCCTGGGCTCAGGCGATGCTCCCACCTCAGCCTCATGTCCAACAAATATTATTTTATTTTATTTTTGTAAAGTCAAGGTCTCGTTATATTGCCCATGCTGGTCTTGAACTCCTGGGCTCAAGACATCCTCCCACCTTAGCCTCCCAAAATGCTGGGATTATAGGTGTGAGCCATTGTGCCAGGCCTGCACCTCATTCTTAATCCTCTTATCTATCCTTGACCAGTATCAGGCTAGACTCACAATATGGGGCAAACAACTCTATACTCCTCACCAGATGATGTTAGGATTTCTCTGGAATTCACTTCACCTCTTAGGCCAAGGTTGTTTACAGACTAACCCATGTAGAACTTCTGTCCTGGACAGAGTGGGATCTTCTGCTTCCCATGGCTTAGATTGTAGTATATAAATTTATCTCAAAACTGTTTTTAAATTTTGCAATTTGGGGGAGGGGGTCATACCTCATCAACAAGGGCACCTGCATAATGAACATTTATATACTTAATCTTGAATTGTACCCCACATCTTTAAAAAAATGTTCCCAATTTAAAATAGTTTCATAACTGTGGTTGAAACAGATGCATGATTTTGGTTTGTGGCCATAAGTAATGTCCCAGAATGAAACTAGATTTATCTCTAAGAATTGCGTATATAACCAGTATAT